ATTGTTATGGTTGGAGTTATTTAGACTGTACTATCTCTGCTTCAAAGAATGTCATTTTTCTATCGTTACATGTTTTTGCAATACATTTAAAAGTTCTGGAATATGTTCAAAATATATTAACACAATGTTAAAGAGCAAACAAAAACATGTTTTCTAGTATTTACAATATTCCTTTTCAATAATAAATCTTCTCAAACACATATTTCATTCAGTGTTCATATGCGCATTGTCCACCCTAGTGGACATGTCACCAACTCCTTGAAGAATGCATGTTTGAAAAAAATGAAGGTGATTATATTCTTTCTATGCCTAAAGCGTAATAAAAACACTTTGGAAAAAATCCTGAAGTAACCTATCATAATTTATGCATGAAAGGGTTAAAAACCCAACCCAAAGCAGGTGAGTGCATAAAATAAATGTGTCAAACCTAGTAGCTGGACATCCACTCATACCTGATCGATACAACTATCCCCACCCCCGGGAGAGACTGAAATCTGCTGAAATCCTATGAGACACTGACATGATACAAGACAGGGCATGGGAAAGTGGCTCTTTCTGCAGGAGACATGCACAGTAGAGTGGTGCAAAGTGTCTGATAAGCCCTCTGTAGATAATTGGCTTGAGAGCAACTAACAAGTAGATCTACACAACAAGTAGATTATTATTTGATTTGGAAAGGCAATTTGAGGACACAAACATAAGTTGGTTTCAGCAGTACAACCTAGCAGAAGCTTTTTTAGCTTTATAAATACTGGTTTGAGAAGCACATGAGTACACCTTTTTACATTTGCAAAATATGAAATAACATAATGCAAAATATTATCTGGAAAATTAGGATTTCATTTCGATAGGCAATGTGAGGACACACGCTGGTTTTAGCAGTAGGACCTCTCCGTCTCAACCCAATGTAAGGTCATTCAACTTTATATATAATTGGCTTGAGAAGCAAATAAGTAGTAATAATTATTTTTATATCATTCAAAGTTTTATCTGTACCACTATTTGGTTTAAAATGTGTACTTCAGATTAGGGGATACCAATATGTGTTTCTTTTAATATATTTTATACTTCCAGCTACCACAGCACATTTTCAATTCTATTAAAAATGTCAACAAAATGATAAGAAACTGAACTAACTCACATTCCGACATGCATAGAACAACTATCGCCCCCAAAAAATCCAGAAAAAGGTGTAATTCTGCTTAACTGACTCCCAGGTCTCAATTTGAGCTCCCCCAGCAGTGATTTAGAGCCACTATCTCCCCTATCGACAGGCCAGCAGACTGCGAAACATTGAATTGTTCTGTTAAAAGCAGACAACAGGGAGAGGAGGGACCCATAGGCACATCGGATCAACATTGGCTTGTGCAACGAAGCCGGCAAGCCTTAATTGAATTGATAGGGGGCGCCGGGGGAAAAGCAGCCACATAAAATTAGGCACTCCGGACCAAAAAAAAGGTGTGGAAAACAAAATGGGAGAGGTAGCAGGCTAATAGGGAATCCACGGCTCCACACAGCATGCGAAAATGAGGAAGATAGCAAGGGAATAATACAGTGGAATAGAATGGAATAGGCTGAGTTCACCTGAAATTTCAATCTAAAATAGTTTAAAGGTGCATTGTGTAACTTTTCTGGCAGAGGGTTCATCAAATGCTTTTCTCCATGGAGATGTTATTGCTTTGTTTGGAATGTTTCACAGTATGGTTTTAAACATTTCTGTCTTCATGGAGACCAAACCAAGCCAAGTTACAGGTCCGATCTATGGAGAGGCAACACTACTCCCAGTTAGAAAGCATGTTTTTCTAGGTATAAAAAACACCTATGATTTAATAAATGTAAGGTAGAGCTGTTTAATGTCATACTGTGGGACATTCCACACAGAGCAAATGACATATTTATAGAAATAAGCAGGTGACGGACCCCCAACCAAAAAGTTACACAGTGCACTATTAACACTGAAGGATTTTTTAAAAATAGAATGCATGTTTAATTGAGAAAATTAAGATGTTTTCATGTTTATAATTATTGTACATAAAAATGGCATAAAACCTCAAATGAACTAAGTTCAATTTTGTGAAATAATTAAAACACAAAGGTGTAAATGTTGTCTGTTAAAAATATTATATTTTCCGCTCTATTATTCGCTCTGGATTATAAGGCGCACTGTCATTAAATGGTCTATTTTCAAACCTTTTTCACAAATAAACTGTACCGGACTGTAAATGAAACACAACAGTTGGATGGGTCAGTGGGACTTTGTTTGGCCCTTTCACAGTGACTCTGGGCTTTGTTCAGTTGTGCCGTATAGGGAGGGTGTTGTCTGGGACCGCTGGATTGTTGGCATGTTCACAGTGCCTCAGTTGTTCAGTTGTTTCTAGAAGTGGCACATTGCACTCGCTTTTTTAGTTCATTCCTGCATTCTGTTCCTCGTCCTCGTCCTCATGATGAGTGTGTCTGCGGGTGGTGCGGCTTTGTAGTTTACTGAAGTCGTGCTGGGACACCTGAGTGGATTCGTGTCTAGGGCGCTTTAGATTGTGGGGCGCGCAGTAGTTTTTCGATGACATTGGAGGCTTAAGAGCGTGCCCAATAGCCCGGAAAATATGGTAATCTAAACCACAGAATTAAAGGAACCTTACTTTATGTTTTGTATTTTTAAATCTATGTTCAGAGACACAAGGTAAACATCTTCAAATTAAATATAACTTTTACTGATAACATTTGTAATGCTGATATTTTCTTACTAACAAAACATTACACATAATGGCCAAGTTCTTTGTCATCATTTGGTGCTTTGGTTCTTATTTGGGTTGCTAATTTCGATGCTAAAATCCAGATGTTTTACAAGTCCTATAGTTGTTTCCTCATCAAAAACAAACCTGGAGCTGTGTTTTGTTTCATTCACATATGTCTGAGTAATCCTTAATTATTAGTCTCTCTAAATCTCCAAAGCTGAAAACGTGGTAGTGGTAGTTTTTGAGTAAACACTACTTTTTAGCTTTAGTTTAGTAGACACTGGCAATTCGAGGGCTAAAATCATCCAAATGATTCTAGTCAAGGTGTATGGAGTTTAGAAATACAGTGAAGCACTTGTATTACCACATGACATCACAAGGTGGAACAGACTGTTTTAGAGAAGAACTCAGCTTAAACATGCAGGGTTTGTGCATTAAACATGTATGAATGAAACAAAACCAAACTCCAGGTATATTTGTGATGTGGAAACAACATTACAACATAGACTAGAAAATAGCGTAAAACACAAAAAAACTAAAAATTATTAGGTTCAACTTCGTGGACAGACATCCAATTCTAAAATGTGAATGCAACTTATAGCAAGAAGAAACTGGCAACAACATGGCAGCGAAACAAAGGCACAAAACCCAAACCGTGGAACAGAATAATTAAGAGCGAGCAAGTGTTCTGCGTGAAAGAGGGATGACTCTCTTAGCAAATAATGAAGGCGAAAGAAAAACAAGGAAATGAATGGACGCCACCGAAAAGAGAAAGAGCTGGAGGAGGACTGGGAGCATGATGATAGTGGAGTCTAAGCTACAATTAATGCCTGCAGGAAATCAAGTCTCAAGTCACAGGCCAAAGTAAACAGAAGACACAAAGCTGGGAACGCGCTGAACTACTACAAAGAAGAACGAAGAAAACTAAAGCAAAAGTTCTGCTAGAGAAAATATCTTCCTCCAAGAGAGTTAAAAATGCTATATACAATTCAATTTTATTTCTTAAAGGTGCATTGTTTAACTTTTCCGGTGGAGTGTCCCCCATAGTTTTGTCTCCACGGTGATCTTATTACTATGCCTGGGATGTTCCACAGTAGAGCATTAAAAAAATACAGTATATCTTGTATTTACTCAATTACAATTGTTTTTATTTCTCAAAACTACCACAAAAACATGATTTTTTTTGTCAGCAGGTCCACTTCTCCACAGATCTGACCTGTTACTTGACCTGGTAATGTAGCCAGCTTGTTTCCGTGGAGATAGTTAAAGTAAAATGCCATACTGTGGAACATTCAGGAAAAAAACATGGAGTCAAGCTGGTGGTGGAACCTCTACCAGGAAAGTTACACATTGTATCTCCAAGTAAAAGAACAGTACAAGGGCAAAAACAAACAAAAAACTTAAAAAAAGTGAAATAGTGAAAGTAAAAGTATCACATGAAAAAATCTACTTAAGTACCTGTTTAAAAATGTACTTAAAGAGAATTTCGCTAAGATTTTGATGTCTTATAAGGCTTCAAATATAGTGATTTTGAAGTTTGCAATTACAGTGTTTTAAGAATTATCACATTTGAAGGAAGTACCGTATATTCCAGACTATAGGGCGCTCTTAAGCCTCCAACTCCATCAAAAAATTATTGCGAGCCCCACAATCCAGAGCGCCCTATACACGAATCCACTCGGGTGTCCCAGCACGACTTCAGTAAACTACAAACCCACAAACACACACGGAGCAGACAGCGACCGCACAGCGAAAAACACCCGCAGACACACTCATCACTCCACGCGGACGAGGAACGGAACGGAGGAACGAACCGAAAAAGCGAGTGCAGTGTGCCACTTCTAGACACAACTGAACAACTGAGTCACTGCGAACACGCCAACAATCCAGCGGTCCCAGACAGCACCCTCCCTACACGCCACAACTGATCTAAGCCCAGTGTCACCGTGAACGCACCAAACAAAGTCCTACTCACCCATCTAACTGTTGTGTTTCGTATAAAGTCAGGTGTGGTTTATTTGTGAAAAAAGTTCAAAAATAGATCATTTAATGACAGTGTGTCTTATAATCCAGTGCACCTAATAGAGCGGAAAATACGGTAAATACAAATCAGCGGGCGTGATTGGACAGTCCCAAAATTGTAAAGTTAAATTTATAACAACTAAATCACAAATGTTTTAACTCACAAATATTCAGTTGTTTTGGCCCGAATATAGTAGTTTGACAGAGCTGCCGGCGGGACTTGCTTTGGCGTTTTTCAAGTCTTACCTTAATGAGATCTCCGAGCAGTTTGTTGGCTTCTGTGTAGGCCTTCTTCACCTCCTTGAACTTGTTCCCCAGTCCCATACTGTGAGCCTGCAAAGAAGTCCCCAAATCCCAGAGTGAGGAGCAGAGCAAAGGAAGAGTTTGGGATAAACACAAGACGGCGATTTCAGCACAAACTGGTGATTTAAAGCTCTAATTTGCCCGGTGACACCTGCGGTTTCTTTAATTTACACTGAAGATGCTCGTCTCACTGAGAGTTAGAAGAGGAACCTGCTGCATCTGCTTTTCTTAAAAACTGGGCAGAAATAAACAGGTCAGAGAGAGGGAGAGGAATAAAGGATGTAAGAGGGGAATACTAACTGCTCTATTTGGAAGATAAAATATGAGCCTAAAATGAGCCTAAAATAGTACTCAAGTAGTAAACACACAAGTACTTAGTGGGATTATTACTTCGTTAAATACTGCTACCCATTACAATGTGAGAGTATTCATAATGACAAAGATATACACAGTGGTGGAAGACATATTACATTTTCAGATACTGGAGTAAAGTAACAGTAAAAGTATCACATGGGAAAATCTATTTAAGTATGTCAGGTGTCAAACTTTGATTAAAAATATTTTTACTTTTCATTCCTGTTCAAAACTGTAGTGGAGTAGAAAGTACAGACCTCTGCTCTGTAAATGTAGAGAAGTAAAAGTAAAAAAATATCTACCGTACTGTAAAATTTACTTAAGTACAGATACCTAAAATGTATACTTAAGTATTTACTGTACTTATATTGTTAAGTTCCACTACTGGTTATACACATGTACACCTGCTTTTGATACTACAACTACAACTACAACTGCTGCTGCTACTGCTGCTACTACTACCACTACTTTTACTACTTCTGCTACTAATACCACTTCTACCACTACTTCTACTACTTCTACTACTGCTGTTACTACTGCTGCTACTGCTACTACTGCCACTACTACCAGTACTTCTATTACTTCTACTGCTGTTGTTACTACTGCTGTTACTACCGCTACTACTACTACTACCACCACTACTACTGCTACTATTGCTACTATTGCTACTACTACCACCACTACTACTGCTACTACCGCTACTACTACTACCACCACTATTACTGCTACTGCTACTACTGCAACCGCTACTACTACTATCACTGCTACCACCGCTACTGCTACTACTACTGCTGTTACTACTACTACTACTACTACTACTACTACTACTACACCACGCTGCTGCCACTACCACTCCCACTAGTACTACTACTACTGCTGCTACTACTGCTACAACTGCTGCTACTACTACTACTACTATTACTACTACTACTACTACTGCTACTGCTACTACTGCTCCATGTGTACATAACATACATGTATGCACAAATTACATCTTCAAAGGATTTCCAGAACAAAAGCGTCCACCTTCTTCATTGACATCGCTCCTTGGTAATATACTTTCCCCACACTCTGACCGTACACGTCTTTATGAAGGAAAAATCTCATCTAAACGCTCCTCAAGGATTCACTGAAGATAATAAAATACCGGTGTGTGCAAACGTGCAGTATGGGATGACTTATATTAGTCGTAAATTGTCTCATAAGCAGAGCACCTAATACAAGTACATCTAGTGGAGCCCTCAGTGATGGAGAGCACGCATTATGTTTGTGAATCAGTCCCCAGAGAAGAGGGGGAGGACAGGAGAGGGGGAGGAGAGAGGTATAGAGAGAGAGGTAAAGGGGTAAAGAGAGGTAGAAGGGTAGAGAGGCAGAGAGAGAGCGCACAAGAGAGAGAGAGGGGGGTAGAAGTAGATAGAAGTGTAGGGGGGTAGGGTAGAAAGGTAGATAGAGGTAGAAAGAAAGAGGTAGAGAGGTAGAGAGAGAAGTAGAGAGGTAGATAGAGGTAGAGAGAGAAAGGGGGGGTTAGAGCGGTAGAGTGAGGTAGAGGGGTAGAGAAAAGTAGAGAGGTAGAGAAAGGTAAAGAGAGTGGTAGTCAGAGAGTTAGAAAGAGGTAGGGGGGTAGAGAGGTAGATAGAGGTATAGAAGTAGAGAGAGGTAGTGAGAGGTAGAGAGGTGTCGAGAGGGGTAAAGAGAGGTAGAGAGATGTACAGATAGGGAGAGAAAGAGGTAGATGAACAAAGAGTTAGAAAGATGTAGAGAGGCAGAGAGAGAAAGAGGTGTATAGAGAGAAAAAAGAAAGAGAGACATAGAGACAGAACCTGGGAGTCTGTATTATGGGGAGGAGGAGGAGAGAAGGTGAAAAGAGAGAGGAAGAGAGAGGTATATATAGAGAGAGACCTAGTGTGAGGTATAGTGGGGTAGAGAGAGGTAAAGAGAGTTAGAGAGAGGTAGAGAGAGAGAGAAAGAGGTGTATAGAGAGAAGAGAAAAAGAAAGGTAGACAGAGAGAGAGGACTGATTGAATGATTTGTTTTTATTTCGAGTTTGTGCAAAGAGAGAAACAATATACATATACGTAAATAACAGAAAAGCACAGTGAGTGAGGAGTGAGGAGAAAAAGAAAAACAGAAGGATGAGAGGTAGAGAGAGAGAGAGGAAGAAAGACAGAACCTGGAAGTGCAGGTTGGGGCCCTCAGTGATGGAGAGTCCGTATTATGTTTGTGAATCAGTCCCCAGAGAAGAGGGGGAGGAGAGGAGGTGAAGAGAGAGAGACACAGAGCGAGAGGATACCTGGAAATGCAGGTTGGTGTACTGTCCTCCGGGGATCTCGTTCTCGTACACGTCGGCGTTCCCAGATTTCATGGTGGCCGTGCAGTCGAACGGAGCGTACAGGCCGCGAGCCACCTCCCAGTACTCGCTGTAGTCAAACACCTTCTCCAGAGCGATGCCTGGAAAGCACAAGGGACACATCAATATTTCACACGGGTGTTTACTGTTCCGGGGTTTTATTCCTCACCTTGCACAAAAAGAAAGTCCTACGTGGGCCTAAAGTCAGTCCTGACTAAAATATCTAGGAGTAAATATAACACAAAACGCAGAGAAGGTCACATGCTTTTTGTTTGTCTAGGTTGTTGATAGAGCTGTATGAAGACAATCCAAATCTCAAATTGTCAAATTGCAAAAGCTGCCATTTTTTAGTCTTTTTGTCAATTCTTCTGAAGAATACAATTATTACAAAGAAGAAAAGAGAAAACTAAAGAAAAAGTTCTGCTGAATAAAATATCTTCCTCTGAATGAGTTAAAAATGCTAAATACGTAAACGGTGGTGGAAGAAGTACTCAATTTTGTTACTTAAAGGTGCACTGTATAACTTCTCCAGTGGAGTGTCCCCATCTGCTTGTCTCCATGGTGATCTCATTACTTTGCCTGGGATGTTCCACAGTATGGCATTAAACAAATATCTTGTATTTACTCAATTACAGATGTTTTTATTTCTCAAAACTACAGCAAAAAACATGCATTATTTCTGTCAGTGGGTCCTCTTCTCCACAGATCTGACCTGTGATTTGGCCTGCTTGTTTCGGGGGAGATAGTTAAATTAAATGCCGTACTGTAGAACATTTCAGGAGTCTACCGGAAAAGTTACACAGTACATATTTAAGTACAGGTACCAGGGCAACAACAACAATGTCAGTTCTTCTGAAGAGTTTAAAAGTTAGTGAAAGGACCCACCTTATGCTATTTCCTGATCTACGGTATTATGTTAATTCCTCATCAAAAATGTACCCAGAGTTGTTTCATTCTCACATGTTTAACACACAAATCCTGCCAATTTAGGCTGTGCTCCTCTCTCAAACTGAAAACACCCTGCTCCACCTTGTGACGTCATGTGGCAACACAGAAAATGCTCCATTGTGTTTTTAAACTTCATACACCTTCAATAGATAGATTTTTTCACCCCTATGCTCCTGTATCTGATCTTTTAATGACAGTCTAAACCACACAGATCCGATTTTTTCAAATGCGACAAAGGCCACTTGGATATGTGGTTGTAAACCCGATACATAGCAGATCCGGCCAGGTCGCATTCATCCCACCTACACGTCAGGCTCGGAGTCTAGTCAATGGAGGGAAAACGAGGTTAGCGAGTTAATTAGTATTTGGGGTATTGCTGATTTCAGGTCAAATCAGAGAGGTCTTGGAGAGAACCGGGCAGTTTTTGAAATGACTGCCAAAGAAATGTCCGAGCGTGGCTACAGGCGGTCCTGGATCCAATGTCAATGAAAAATAAAGGAGCCTGTGAGCCAAACCCAAGGAGGCTAAAGACTCCAACAAATGAAATGGCCGTGGACGTGTTACCTCTCCATTTTACCAAGAAACTGAACATTTGGGAGACAAGTCCAGAGTTTAGGTGATTTCCATAAACACTGAGCATGCTTCAATGCGCATGCGGGACACTTTTGGGGCGTTTAAAGTTCACATACAAGTTCAATTTAATTGGAATTGTGAACGACCACGCAAAATCTGATTTCACAAAAAAAATAAAAAATAAAAATCTAAATTGTGCATTAAGCCCTGCAGTCTGAACATAGCCAAAAATACTTTCAGCCTTAGAATGGCCAGTCTTGAAAACTACCACTTCGTGACATCACAAGGTGGAACAGAGCGTTTTGAGCTTTGGAAACGCAGACAGATTAATAATGCAGGATTACTCAAACATGTGCGAATGAAACAAAACACAACTCCAGGTCTGTTTTTGACAAGGTAACACGATTATAACCTGGCTTAAAGCTCACAAGAATCAGTTTTGCATAATATATGACCTTTCACTTGAACTGCCTTTTTTTATTTTCAGTATTTACATAACACTGACTTGTGGGCGAAAATCGAAAATACTCAATTTGTCACTCATTTTAATAAGCGCATTATATAGGCCAATAGAAATGACTTGTTGTCCATATTGCAGTGTTAAAAATACATACTGCATATGAAACCGGGCTGATTTATACGTTACAATGGACATTCACGGTTTGAGAGCTACAGTTACATAACTCACTTCAACATGTATGACAGCTTGGAGAATTTAAAGCACAATAAGAAGTGCATGAGACTGTGTTCAACATATCATTGCTGACAGAGAACTGATATTTTTTTTAAAACCGCACCGTCCAAGTCAGTAATGGCCACAGCCTCCATCTACCACCAGCACCACAGGGAAAAATTTCATGTATTTTTGTATTCATTTTTAAAACTCAGCAGGCGAAAACTCAAAATGCCAAGCGGGACATTTCTTCCGAACATAATCCATCTCAGACTCCAATTCCTGAAAATTTCATGAAGCGAGGTAGCATTTGGGAGCTGAAAATGGGTAGAATGCCACTTTAATTCTGTTTTTTCGCTTTTTTTTTTTTTTTGAGCACTAGCAAATATAGCACAACTTCATTCGGTCAACATTTGCCAGACTCATTAAAATGTGTGATGTGTTTTGCTTTCTGCTGGGGACAGTTAAGGTGCTAAAGCGGATGACTTAAAACACGCTAGCTTTAATCCCTGGTCCAAAATGGCAGCGCTGGGCAAATTATGACAAATATCAACTATGCTAATTACACTAATGTGACAAAGTTAGCCTCAAAGTGACGAGGGGGAAATATAAGGATTATTTGTGTATTTCAGTGGCAGAGCTTGCAAAGTACTCCCAATCTTTAGTGAATTAGGTTGTAGATTGCACTGCTTCAAAGTGAGAGAAAGTACAACCATTAGATGTTAAGTATTTAGGCCCAGTATTACGACTACTGCAACTAAATAACTACAAATTACCAACTAACTATGTACTACTATCACTGACTACTAATAGTACTTCATCTATTTCTACTGCTACTGCTACTGCTGACGCCAACTACAAGCAACTGCTACTTTTTACCGACAACTTTAATTAATACTTTCTACCTACACCTTCAACTACAACTTTTTACTTTCAGCTACCAACTTCTACTAGCCTACTTCCTCAACTACAATTACCGTATTTTTCAGACTATAAGTCACGCTTTTTTTATGGTTTGGGTGGTCCTGCAACTTATACTCCAGTGCGACTTCTATGTTAACATTTTCACACCGATAGCTGTGAGAGGGCGCTCTAGGCTTCTGTACTTCTGTACCACTGTCACTTCACGCTACTGCGCATGTCGGATGCAGAAGAAAGAGAAAGAGCCAGTGTACTGTCTGTATCATGTCAGTCGATCGCACCATTACTTCTGTATCACTAACTATTTAAAATGTAAACAAATATAAAGACAACTGAAACCATCCTGTCGGGATTCAGAAAGGCCGGAATAATACTAAGTAGAACTGATGCCGAGTCTGACGACAGCTACACAGAAGAGGAAGCGACGCTCTGTTTACCTCCGGAGGTCATGGAGTTGCTCAGAAGTGACACCGAAGATAAAGAATTCAGTGGATTTAGTGGTTAACTTGTTCTGTTGTTTATGTTATAGTTTATCTGAAGAACTGTTCATATGTGAAGTTAACAGTCTGTTGTTCTCCGTTCTATTGTTATTACTATAACTTGCCTTTCAAGATGAAATGTCGGTTCCTGGTCTCTAATTTTATAAAATACTTTTCCCCCAAAAAGTGCGACTTCTAGTCCAGTGTGACTTATATACATTTTTTTTCTTCTTCATTAAGCATTTTTGGCTGGTACGACTTATAGTCCAAAAATACGGTACTACTGCTTCCACTACTATACTACTTTTAATACTGTAATAAATTATATGAAGACCAAATGAACCTCACTGTACCACACTACTACTACTACTACTACTACTACTGCTACTACTACTACCAATTAGTGCCTTTTACTAACTTCCACTACTACTACTAATGAAAAACTACTAGAATTATGATGACAACAATTATTACAATACAACGTGAACTACTATAAACAAATGCAGATATTTATGAATATTTGATCTACATACACTTTATTGTACTTGTAGGGAAATTGTCAACCACAATTACTACTACCAACTACTACTACAACTATCACTACAACTCCTACAACTACTAATTTTGAAACTACACTTACTGTGACTAATTACTACAATACAAATATACAATGTCGTATGTAGTCCTTGATTGCTACTTGCTCTGTGCTTATGCTGTGACCCTGTGAAACTAATGACAAACCAATGTGCCTGTAGAAGTGAGAAGGTTTCCATGGTTTCCCACCACAGTCGGTAATTAGGAGCCATTCAGCTACTACTATGACAACAAGTACTACTACTACTTCTACTACTATGACAACTGCTACCATTACTACTACTACTACTACTACAACAAAAACTACTGCTGTGATCCTGGTGGGAATGATGTTAGATCTGTGAAACTAATTACAAACTAATGTGCCTGTAGTAGTGAGGATGCTTCCATGATCTCCCACCCCAGTCTGTAATTAGGACCTATTCAACGCTCTGGTTGATAGTGTACTTGTGTAGTTCTCATTTACGCCCTCCTCGGTGAAATGAGACTCGAGATCACGGTGGGATGTGCAAAACCGTGCTATTGTATTGTGGCATGGGCCTTCATCAACTGTGGAGGAACCCGTATTCGAAAATAAACAGGAAATCTGGTGCAAATACAGGACAAGGACTACTACTACTTCAACTAGTAGTAATTACTACTACTACTACAGCGTGGGTCCTCAAACTGTGGACAATTTTGTATTCGAAAATAATCTGGTGGAAATGCAAAACTTGTGCTCTGAAACTGACTGTCAATAACGAGGTGCTCCCCGCTGACATAGCACAGGCCTCTACCTTTAGCTTTTCATGAATATTAAGAACAAAACACTCTTTCAAAAACACACAAAGTCACCCAGTTCAAGACACCTTAAAATTTCTGCGATGGAGATTTGGAGGAGCTACATATTCATAGTTTAGAGAGGACCTGTGTC